CAGCTCAGAGATACGACTTTCAGAAGTACGTCACTTTCTGGTGCTAAATTGTTCTTTGAATTATTTCACATCTTAACTTTCGTCTTTTACTGTGATCCCTCCTTTTTAAAAAAAAAGTGTTTTGTATTTTGCTTTTATTGAAGGATGTTGTGGTAGAAGGAGGAAGAAGATGGGGGCAGGAGTACATTCAGTTGCTTAGTTCATTTCGCTTTTAAAATTGTTCTTTCTTTTAGTTGTGCAGTACTAACCTTCAATTGTGTGTTTGTTTGTTTGCTTATTAAATAAATCAAATTTTGATTAATTGTTTGGGAATTAGAAAAAAATACCGCTTCTTCATTCAATTTCTATACAATGTGTTCAGAAGCCAAATATGAGAAAGAAAACAAATCAAACAAAAATCTTCTTTTGTAGGTATCCAGGGTCATTACGGTTACCTTGACAACAATGGCGACGCGGAAGGGAATTACACGGTGCTGGCGCTCCAGCCCATGGACAACAAGTTTACACGGGGTCTGTTACCCATCGGGGGATTTCAGAGGAGCCGGCAAGACAGGCAGAATGTGGTGGGTACACGCCTCTCCAATCAGTAACATTTTTGACTCATTTTTATAACTTTATAGCTGCTTTTTCTATTTCTTTTACTCAGTATATTATACTCAATGTGATCCTTATTGTATTTTCTTTTCGTTTTTTTAAGGACGGGAGGGGGACAAAGGAATGTGGAGAGTAGGGGTGGGTGGAACACGGGATTGGGGGTAATATTTAAGTAAACTTAAAGGAGTGGAGTATTGATTACTGTTATTTATGAATAGTAAAACAATGAGTGACAAAACAAAATAATTAAAAGATAAATGTTTCTTCAGTTTTTCCAAGGACTCTAAAAAAAGCTTTTGCGAAAGCGTGTCTAACAGAGAAAGAAAATCTTCGAAAAAGAGTGGAAATGCCATTTTTATATCTGTTTTATTACTCTTTTAAAGCTAAACTCATTTTTATGAATTCTTCTGTTCAGACGTACACAGTGACTGTTGATATCTACGGTTCCGATGTGCCCTTAGACGAGCCTGTCTGTGGCTATGACGGCGAGTACTGCCGAGAGGAAGAAAGTGAGTATACGTTCCTCTTACTATAATAACAGAAATGATATTAACTGTAATAATCAGTAGAATATTATCAGTAGAAACGTAACGATAATTAAAGCAGTATTGATAAAAAAAATTGTTAACAATGTTATTAATAACAATATTAATAACTTGTCAAACAAGACAAATAATAATGATTATAATAACAGCAACAAAAACAACAACAAAAAATATTAAAAATAAAATGATAATAATAATAATCATCGTCATCCGTCATAATCAGCATCATCATCATCATCATCATCATCATCATCGTCATCATATTAATAATAACAATACTAATCATAATCCTAATTATTATGATGATGATAATGATAAACTAACAACAACAATAACAACAACAGCAATAATAATAATCAACGGGGGCTCGTGGTTTGTAGAACTGACCAGCTTTTCTTTACATCGATTCCCTTTTCCTATCCCCTGCCCTTTATCTTCAACACCCCCCCCCCCCCCCCCCCTAAAAACATATGCCGCCTTTCTTTATACACCCCCCTCCCCCTATAAAAACTACCCACATCCACACTTGCCGTTGTATACCTACATTTTCGCTATTCCTCGCCACACACACACACACACACACACACACACAAACACACACACACACACACAAACACACACACACACACACACACACACACACAGACGCACACACACACGCTCGTGCGCAACTCACCAATTGCATACTAAGCCCTAAAATAACTGCGTATCTTCATAATAGAAAAGAGTTTCAACCCAAAATACAATTAGGACAGTCTAAAGAAATAACTGATACCGTTCCAATGACACGAAGCTGTCCCGTGCAGATCAAGTCTATAATCAGATATAAATGTGTACTTAAAATGCACACGCACTGAACATAGCGTAGAATTCCTGGTCAAAATCAAACGTTCTAGTCGCACTTCTCAGAAGCCTGCATAAGGGTAAGAGTGGAACTGTCAAATGCTAGTTATATAAATCAGTGTCTGATCCGGGTGAGGGAAAGGGGGAGGGGAGGGGTATTGTTTTTCGCGGCCCAGACTCTGTTAGCCGTATGGCTCTCGGTAGTTCGGCACTCTCATCATCAGAAACATTTGTGTCTATATAACGTTTCTGGCCAATATGTTAAAAACGCCTGATGTAAGGTTTCAGTAGGAAGAAGGAACAGAACATCAAACAGAACCTTGGGTGACCAAAAACGTATAGACAATACACATTTGAGCCATGCTGATGAACTGACAGTAACAAGAGACAGTTTTGCTGGTAACGTTACTGATGAAATAAATGCATTTATCAGTCTTATCCGTAAACAAAAAGCAGCCGAGAAGACAAATTGGCAACGAGAGCGTCCTCTGTTTTGTTTGTTTGTTTAGTATAGGGTTTTACGGCGCTCGCAACTGCATAAGGTCATATGAGCGCGCGGGACACACCTAATACTTTTTCGTTGGTAGGAAATTTTGAATTTTGCCCGGGTGGCGGCCGAAGCCTACTCTTATCGATTTTAGACCACCAAGGGATCTTTAACGTGCGCAACTTGCACACGGGCCCTCCGAGATTTTTCGCCCTTGTCCGAGAAGGCTAGGTGTAGATCTTTCCTACCAGAAGATCAGGGGTGTGACAGAAAGACAGCAGTTAGGAGGAGCCAAGGAGTAGCAGTAGAAAGGCTGCAGAAAGAGTCAGGAGCCCAGAGGAGGGGGCAAAGGAGGTGAGGGGGTGGGGGCAGAAAGTGAAAATGAAAGCAGACAACAGAACATTGTTAGAGATCAGGAAAGGATGTGAAAGGAGACAATTTTAGAGAAGAAAAATTTTTGGTCGCTACCCGGAATCGAACCCGGGACCTTTGAATGAGAGGCCAACACCTTAACCTCTAGGCCACGAGAGCCCCCGCGTCCTCTGTGGGCCCAGTAGACGATTTGTAAAACTGCCGCTAGGACCGCGGTGTCGTTCGTCGCTACAAGGAGCGGTGACAACAAAGATACGAGCCACCGTCAATAAAACAGAGACGAAGGAAAGAGAATCTGGCTGGATTGCATCAACTTTTCAGTGAACCCCTATCGTCTTTTTTGGGGCGCCTACAAATCGACAGATTGCTTTTTGACGGTTGACAATAAAATTAAAAATTAATTTTAAAAAGTACTTGAAACTGAATGGAAATTATTAACATCAACAAATATCTTGTCCACTGTCCACTCAACTGTCCAGCCGATAAAAAGTGACTGGTCTTGCCCATCTAACTAACCGCCCCCGATTATAATAAAAATAATAATAATAATAGTAATAGTAATAATAATAATAATAATAATGATAATAATAATAATAATAATAATAATAATAATAATAATAATAATAATAATAGCAACAATAATAATAATGATAATAATAATAATAATAATAATAATAATAATAATAATAATAATAATAATAATAATAATAATAATATAATAATAACAATTTTGCTATATTTGATGGTTCAACCCACCCCCCCCCCCCCACCCCCCTCCCCCAACTTCAACGCCTCAAACACATCAGTATGTATTAGACCGCCCAATACAGCCATGGCAGTGTTAGAATAGGCGACAAAGCTATCAGAAAGTAAACACTAACAAATCGCCTATTTAATCTTGCTCATGTCTCGCATGATATGTAAGTAAAGATAATAAAAACTGAATGCTGTCTGGGATTTCTTAATCTCTGTTTATCTAACTATGTCAGCTTATTTATTTATTTGTATCTTTTGGGTTATATGCTTGGGTTGCTTAATTATTTTATATCAAATAATTAGCTTTTTATTTGTCCATGTGTTTATTAGTTTAGTCTTAGTACTATTATAGTTATTATTAACATTGTTTTAGCTTTTGGTTCCCAGATTTCTGGGAAAAGGAGTAGGTTAACTTTATGTTGTTTGCTGTACCTTTACAAACATTATATAATTTACATAATTCATAATTAATTGTTGTTAATCGTGTTTTGATTACTAATCTAATTGCAAATATAAATCATTTCATAATTCGACACCAAACGCCCTCCCCCTCCTCCCCCCACCTAAAAAAAAAAAAAAATAAAAAAGTCAACAACAAAAAAGAAAACACACCATTGACACTCTTGTGTGGCTTTTCTTAAGCACGATTACTATCCATAATTTTTTGAGACATCAAATTCTACCTTAACGTTTCACAATCGGAGCATGAAAATCTGTTGATTTTCTTTCGGTCTAATTAATTTATCTCTTTTTATGACACATAAGAGAATTAATTACATTGTATGCTTCTCTTCCATCCACAGGCAAATTGGCATACATAGTTGGCGGATGTCTCGGTGGTATAGGACTGACACTTATCATTGTGCTAGCAATCGTTTACCGGTAAGTTATTAGTGTTTGTATTGATGGTAATTCCCCCCTGCTTTCTGTCTGTGACTCTTTTTCTCTACCTCCTAGTTTCGATGTCTTAGTGCATCTCTCTCTCTCCTTCTGTCTTTCCCACTCTCTCTCCCACTCTCTCTCTCTCTTTCTCTCTCTCTCTCTCTCTCTCTCTCTCTCTCTCTCTCTCTCTCTTTCTCTTTCTCTCTTTCTCTTTCTCTTATTTGTCATATATTCTTTCCGCCTCTTAAATAGCCTAACAAGGGGTGGGGAGAGGGGAGGCTCTCATGGCTTAGAGGTTAAGGTGTTGGCTTCTCATTCAGAGTTCCCGGGTTCGAATGCGGGTTGCGACCGAAAAACGTTCTTCTCTAAAATAGTCTTATTTCCTGCTCTCTAGCAATGTTCTGTCGTCTGCTTTTGTCTCCTCTTTCTGCCCCCACCCCCTCACCTCCTTTGCCTCCTCCTCTGGTCTCCTGACTCTTTCTGCAGCCGTTCTACTTCCACTCTCTGGCTTCTTCTTACTGCAGTCTTTCTGCCACACCCCTGATCTTCTGGTAGGGAAGATCTACACCTAGCTTTCTCCGGTAATGTCGAAAAATCTAGGAGAGCCCATGTGCAAGTTGCGCACGTTGAAGATCCCTTGGTGGTCTAAAATCGATAAGAGTAGACTTCGGCCGCCACCCGGGGAAAATTCAAAATGTCCAACCAACTGAAAAAGTTTAATGTGTCCCGAGCGCTCATATGACCTTAAACCGTTGAGAGCGCCGTAAAACACTTACCACACCCACCCCCCCAAAAAAAAAACCAACAAAAAAAACCCAACAACAACAACCAACAAACAAATAACCTAACAGTGTTGATAGGGGCGTTAAACCTATACCATGTCTCCATTTTCTTTATTATTCATTTGTTTCTTTAAGTGTTTATGAATTTGCACTTATTATTTTTGGTTCTGTGCATGTGGATTTCTCTGTCTCTCGCTCTCTCTCTCTCTCTCTCTCTCTCTCTCTCTCTCTCTCTCTCTCTTTCTTTCTTTCTAGCTCTCTCTCTCTCTCTCTCTCTCTCTTTCTAGCTCTCTCTCTCTCTTTCTAGCTCTCTCTCTCTTTCTAGCTCTCTCTCTCTCTTTCTCTCTCTCCCTCTCTCCCCCCCCCTCTCTTTCTCTCTCTCTCTCTCTCTCTCTGTCCCCTTATCTCTCTCCTTATTATCAAAAATATCTTCATAATGCTGTAAAACCCAACTCAAACAAATATCTCGTTTACGTTATTGATCTTTTATCTATATATTTATATAACATTCTATTCATCTGCTTTTCACTCTTTGTACGGACATTGCCTTAGAACTTGACTTTTATGATCCAGGTATATTATTCGCTCAATAAAAGCAGACTCTTATTTCTTTCACCTGTCTTACTCTATCTTACCCGTCCGACATTTTCGTCCTTTCATTTGGATATCTCTGGGCACCTTAAAATAATTTCTTATTTCATGTTGTTTTGGGTTTTTTCTGTTCACGTACTTGTCTATAACAAAGAATATCATGTAAGAAATTGTGGGTTAATCTTTAAACTGGTGCTTCGTAAATCAACTTCTAGGAGAGCATTGGACAAAAAAGTGGGGGTGTGAAAGAGAGAGAGTGAGAGAGAGAGAGAGAGAGAGAGAGAGAGAGAGAGAGAGAGAGAGAGAGAGAGAGTGAGAGAGATAAAGAGAGATATAATAAAAAGAGAGTGGGGAGTGCGAGGAAGAGAGAAAAAAGAAAGTACAATTATATTAACACAGAAAGACAGTCTAGCTGTTCTTCGCTTCAGACATCAAAGATCTTCGCTATTAACAAATTTTCCAAAGGGTACGCACACTTGTGGTGGTTTGAATTTTGAATCAGTTTCTCCCCTTGATCGTCCAACCTTTAGATCCGATAAGTGGGCATGTCAACAGGTTTGCAGAATGCACTCAGAGGAGCATGGCGGTTGCTGATTTATAGGGTATAGCAGTGATTTCAGCTAGATATTATGATAACATCAAGGCTATTGTCCTAATTTTGAGGGGTGCATATTTTTTTTTTTTATATTCTGGAATGCTGCTAAAGAAATAGAGAGGGGTTAACCTACTGAGTGCCTACCACAGAATGTGTCCTGTGATCTTTTGTGAGAGTAAAGAACAGAACAGGGTCGGGTTATTACAGGGTCCCAATGAACGATTTTCAACCTTTCTTTTTGACAGCGGAGGGGGTGGGGTTGTGAGGAGGCGCGGGGAGGGGGATGGGGCTCGCGAAGTGGCATGCCACCAAAGAAGATATTCAAAGTGACGGATGCAATCATATCATATAAGTATAGATAGCTATGAGTTTTTGTTATGGCCTACAGACTTGTGTAGCATGTAAATAGCGATTTAAGTGTTTGATTTAAGTCAGTGCGGGATTTTAGAATGAAAGATGTGTGAGTGTGTATGTGTGAGTGTATGTGTGTGTGGGGGGGGGGGGGGTATCAAGTTGCTGTCAGAAATCAATGGAAAATAACAAGAATTTTGAAAGAATCCAAATCCCCTTCTCCGACCGACTCTTTTCTTCCCCCTCCCAAAGCTCTCTCTCTCTCTCTCTCTCTCTCTCTCTCTCTCTCTCTCTCTCTCTCTCTCTCTCTCTCTCTCTCTCTGTCTCTTCCTCTCTCTCTCTGTGTCTCTCTGTTCGTCTCTCTCTCCTTCTCTCTTTCTCTCTCTCGCACACACACACAAACACACACACACACACACACACACACACACACACACACACACACACTAGTACACACACACGAACAGACAGGGCAACGACCCCGTACAAAACCTCGCTCTAGAGGTGGACAATTACCTAGTTGATCTTACTGGATACATACTGTTGCTATTAAGATACTTGCAACTAGAAAGTCAATAATCCCGAGCGCTCGTGAACGTTTCCTTTCTTGTGTCTACTACACTTGATTTGAAAGCTCTGCCCTGACGTCAACGCGGGGGTGGTTGGAGGGTATACCAGTATGTCTGACTTGTAAGCTGAAACTTTCTTTTTTCCTGTTTACGTGCCATGAATTTTCCAGCACAAATGGTCGCCTTTAAGGACCAGCTGACTAACCCAAATTTCGGGGATTTTCAGAAAGCTTGACCTACACCAAAAGAGGGCATTCCCCAACCTACAAGAGAAGTTTGGTTGCTTTGGTGTGTATATTTGTTTGGTTATAGAGAAAACTCTCCTTGTCTTTTAAAGAAACTGAACAAGGGTCCAAAAACTTTACCGTTGATTTTCTCACAACAGCATTTTTCGGTATAGCCCCCTTGTGCTTAAAAGCGACCAAATAACATTTTAAGTGTATTCTTCTGTTTATTTTGTAAAATATACTTCAGCGAAACTCGAAATCAGTTTCATTTTTTCCATGTAAAATATGCTTCAGAGAAACTCGAAACCAACTTCAGTTTGTATAGTATTCTTAATGGAAACACGAAACCCATTTTCAGTTCGTGTAATCAATGAAAGTCAAAACCCAGTGTGTGGGTGGTTGGCGGATGCCCTGGTGTGGCTTCCTTCTTCTTTCCTATCAAACATCTATCGTATTTATCTCCACTGCTTCTTTTTCGTGTTTGTTACTCTATTGTAACACCTTTAATCTTCGGCACTTATATGACCTTACAGTGTTGCAAATGCCGTAAAACTCTTACTACTAAAATCCATTTTATGTATTATGCTTCTTTCAGAGTTTAAAAAATCAGGGGGGGGGGGGGATGTCAGACTTTTATTATTTTATTTTTGTAAACGATTTGCTTTTGTGAAACCATAAGCAGTGTTCTCTTTATCTTCCGCGAAAAGACACGGAATGCGTCACAAATGACTCGGATATTTCAAGTTATTTCGTAAAACAAGGATGGTTTTAATCGGCCTACGGCTGTCTTTTAACATAAAACGTTCGGTAAAACGTAATAAAAACACATCTAAAACGACTAGAAATCTGAACTCTCAAGCACGGGTCCTGTTCTGGGAGCACAGAAGCCACTACTACTGAGTGATAGGCTTCACAGTCTTTTATTCTTCGTGGAAGTTGTCTCTTGTTTGTCAAAGTACATGATACATTCATTTTGGATGTTAACACTTCAACTCTGGAGCAAATATGCCAGAGAAAGGTTAAATAAAAGGACCGACTAATACTTTTAAACGGTACCGATAGAAAAATGAACAGGTATAATCTGCTCCTTCAACGTCAGGCCAGTTATAAAAAATGTCTCATTTATCCTAAATTGTTTTGATAAAATCAGCTGTTATCGTGTTGATCCGCTTTAAACAACAACATTTCAGCAATAATATTAATCGCCACTGTTATTCTGATCAATACGGGTTCTAGATAAACACTGAACAAAGACCACATATGCGTGATAACAATTATTTTGTATGACGTAGAAGTTACTTAAAAAGCTTGAACTACGCTATTCATTACTCAGAGAGTTATGTTGAAATATTCCTAATATACATTTCTAAAAGAGATATTTTTTGCGTAGATTGGATAGACCTAGACAGTACTATAAAGAAAACGATAATGGATTCTTTATATGGACGAGGCTAATGGGGTTTTTCCTAGTGTCGTGCTAACGAAGGACGTTTCTTCTGAGTGGAGGTGTGGGAGTTACAAGGGCTCCCATGTTCGCACCAAAAATAATTATGACGTCTATAAAGTATAATTACGGAGGATAAGGTGGCGAGTAGAGGGAGGGAAAAAGGGTACGTGTAGACAGACGGAAGGGGAAGGGTGAGTGAGGCCTTTGAGGGGGGGGGGGATTCATCTCCAGGCTGTAGTATACCAAGCAGCTAAGATTAGACCTAACGACAAGGTCAGAAGACTTCGCTTTATAAGTATACTACGTCATGTTGTTGAAAGGGTAATAAGAACTGAGCCTCGTGTTTTCTCTGTTGCTCAGAGAGAGCATACACACCTTGCTTCTAAGTTATACGATTTTATCATGCGGAACATGTCTCTCTGATAGCAGGCTGTTATGGTATTAAACGATTCAAATGTCGTATATTTTTTTTCCCTAAAGGTGATCTGCAGGCTTCTTGAGCAGTCTTTGATTAGCAATTTGGTAGATTTCACGTAACAATCTGAGGGAGCATCTTTAGTTCAGGTTTGAAGTATTTTTAACTACGATGCGAATGACCCTGTTTCGAATCTCCAATGTGGTGTTCAAAAGATTGAGCTGTTGGGTAATTTTTCATAAGTTTTTTTCCTCATAGAAAATGGTTGCTGTTATGAATAAGACTTTTGAGATGCCGCAATTATCTTAAGGGACGGCTGTGCCAACTAAAGATCAGTGAGGGGGGCTCTCGTGGCCTAGAGGTTAAGGTGTTGGCTTCTCATTCAAAGGTCCCGGGTTCGAATCCGGGTAGCGACCAAAATATTTTCTTCTCGAAAATTGTCTCCTTTCACCTCCTTTCCTGCTCTCTAGCAATGTTCTGTTGTCTGCTTTCATTTCCACTTTCTGCCCCCATCCCCTCACCTCCTTTGCCCCCTCCTCTGGGCTCCTGACTCTTTCTGCAGGCTTTCTACTGCTACTCCTTGCCCCCCCCCCTTACCGCTGTCTTTCTGCCACACCCCTGATCTTCTGGTAGGAAAGATCTACACCTAGCCTTCTCGGACAAGGGCGAAAAATCTCGGAGGGCCCGTGTGCAAGTTGAACACGTTAAAGATCCCTTGGTGGTCTAAAATCGATAAGAATAGGCTTCGGCCGCCACCAGGGCAAAATTCAAAATTTCCTACCAACTGAAAATATTAGGTGTGTCCCGCGCGCTCATATGACCTATGCAGTTGCGAGCGCCGTAAAACACTTTACAAAAACAAAACAAAAGATCAGTGACTTCGAAAGCATTGGAACCATTGACGAGAAATTAGAGGGCAAATGAAATATATAAATCAGAACAACAATATTGTAACAACAACAACAACTACACCAACAACAACATTAGCAAATTGCTACAACACTACCTTTCACAGAAACAATGACAGTAATATTTACAACAACACCTGAACTACAAGAGATAAATGTGGACCTGGAGATGACAACAAAAATGAACAGAGGAGAATGGACGCAGTCAAAAACATTTCTTTCGTATTAGTATATATCTAGGCTAGGAACAGTTTCTCCTCTTATTCATTACCGCTCTAGAGAGGATTCGCTTGGTACCTCCACACCCTTCCAAATCCTGCCGTCGGAAAGATTTGAATTCGTCAAGTACAGCCTAGTTCAAAGCAAACTGTCATTTAAAGTCACCTCTTCCTCCTAGGACCATCTCTAGTGATAGCCATGCACCAGTATTGATAAGGGAGATAATTGAGTTTGAGCAAATAGCACCAGGGGATCTGGTGGCTTAGTTCACCGTGCACTATCTTTTAAAACAGGAAGTTCATTATCGTTACTGTAGTGTAAATCCGAACATGATGGAGTCGGTGTGGTTGTTTGATTTCGCGGCTGTTTCACTCATTGCTATTATTTGTTTTGTCTTTGGAGGCGACATTTAAATAAAACAAAATTTCCCCTAAGTCTGTAGTATTGTGATTAGGCACTACACCTTGTGCGCACAAAAAGTTGTTTCGATTTCCATACTTGAAATATACTATTTTAGGAATAGGGCAGTCTTACTATTTGAATGTATATATCACAGAAGGGATTGCTTTAACGTGCAGCCTTAGTGTAATAACGTATTGTGTCTGAATTGCCATATATCAGAAATACTGCTGCTGTCGTAGATAAAGGGGGCAATGAGCCCACAATAAATGTAATCCTTCCTAACATCGCTTTCAAACCCGAAACGTCGGTCCGACGAATGAAAATTGCTGATCGTCAAAATGCACAAAATGTCTTAACATAACTCCCATTTCATTCACATCAGACAGCCGTTGGCGTTTAGGTTCATTCTAGTCGCGCATCCATTATTTCATTTTTTTTTTTTACGGAAGAGGTAAAATCCCATCGCCAATATAGACAGACTCCGCACGTCTCAAAAGTAAGCACTATACGGCCGCTAATACACACGTTCAAGTATTTGTGTACCTCATGGATGCAGAAGAGCGCGAGGTACTCATCAGCGACATGTTTATAAGGCTAACGTTTTACGACAAAACAAACAAATTGTATGCAAATAGCCGGTATACGGCCTAGGCTTGGACAAGCAACATCCAAAAATCCCGTATAGAAGGAGTTATTTCAAATACTTACTGCTATCTCTTCCTCCCGTGCCCATTCACTACCCTTTATCAAAATTTATTCTTCTACCATCACCATCACAACGTTCATTGTCATCATCATCATCATCATCATCATCATCATCATCATCATCATCATCATCATCATCATCATCATCATCAATATCATCATCGTCATCATCATCATCATCATCAACATCATCATCATAATCATCATCATTATTATAATCATCTCAATCACCATTGTGGAGACTACAAAAAGACAAAAAAAGGTGGCGACTGCAGATTTTCAAAAAATGCGTTAAGATGGCGAAAACTTGAAAGTATACATCATCGTCATCATCATCATCAACGTCATATTGTGGAATTGTCTAATAAATGACGCTTGAAAAAAATTTTGTGAGCTCAACATCTTATTCTTGTTATCTCCCTTCTTTGTATCAAAAACAACAAAACTAAAACCTTATCTTGCATCCAAAGACGATGTTTAATCGGCACCTCAACACGGCGACCGACATTTTCGGGTGTGAATGCACTTGTCGGCCATTATAGGCTGACCGCTATGGGTCGACTGCGCAACACTTTTAGTATGAGAGCACTCTTAAACTCCTGTCCATTACTACAGGCTTTGAAATTGTCTGGAATTTTCTGGATGTGTTTTTATTCTTCCTTTTATCAAGCTTTGTTGTCTCGTGATTGTGCCTTATCGTATTCAGTGTTTGACAGTGTACTCTAGTGATTGTTAAGACCGTACTAAGAGGTTTGAGGAAGCTCAAAAGATTACCCGAGAGCGTTTGGTAATCTAAGATGAAAAATAACAAGAAAAAAAACAACAACCTTATTTTACTGCGTTTGCTCTCACATGCACGCCATTGTTTGCTTTGTTTGTGGGAAATCGAAGTTTTTAAAAACGTTTTAGTTTGTTATAGAAGATTAAAAACAAAGAATGTATTACTTGAGTTATGGTTGTAGATCATGATTTATCCTACTAGTGAATTGGCCAAGTTGTAATCCTTAGTTTTAACGAAGGTTTACAACTTGAGATTTCACAATAATTATTACCTCAATGCATCCATTAATGTTGCACAATACTGATCACGAAAGAAAAGTTGGGTATTGACAAAACACGACCAAATGACGAGTCAGGTGGTCAAGTGTCCCCACTCAGGGGTGTAACATGAACATGAAATGTTCAAGTCTCATCAGAGTCAGAGGGAGGCATTAAAAATATGGATTTTGTATTTCAAGCGACACTTATTACAGACACTATTCCGTCCCGAAATAAATGCCGAACAAAAGCATTACTGAGTATAGATATAGTAAAAACAACTCTTGAAACGTACGATTCAACATGTCAGAGATTCGGAAACTACTTTTTGAGTTGGGTTTTTGTTATCTTAATGATAAATTTGTAGGGAAAAAAAGTGTGGAAACCAAATATGTAAACAAAAATCTGTCGAGACTGTCACTAGTACCAATCCATCATGCAGCATTATATTTTACAGTGCCTTACCATACATTGTTATGTCGTTCCATATTACGCCATACATTTACCATACAAAGCCATACCATAACATACCATACCATACCACACCATACCATAATGTACCTTACCGTACCATACTAAATCATACATCACCAAGCCATAATACAACCAGTTCCTCCATTTCTGCCGACGTCTTTCTGTCATCGTGGCACGACCTCCGTGCAGAAATTGATTGTTCAGGCATTGTTTAGTTCACACAACCACGTCAAGTCATCCTTGAAGACTCATAAATCACTGCTGGCCAGAAAATATAATCAGTGGCATATCAATTTTCACTTTCTTTGATGCGAACTTATCATACACTCCCCCCCCCCCCCCCCCCCCCCACACACCAATCTTCAGAAAACTCACACTGACACACGTGCACGTTATACGAAATAAACAGATCTGTATTCTATTTCCCCAAGACAGTATGTACGTTTGTCAAAACAAACAACGACAGCAAAACAACAACAGCAACAACAACCACAATAATAATAATAACAATAGCAACATCACCATTTTGTTCTGGCATTACCTATCAAAACGCAAAACTCGCCCTTTTATGTACAAGCGTTATTTATTTCTATGCTTGGCAACCACCTGAACATGCTAGAAAAGAAGAGGTCAAAATCTACTTACACTTTCACATTGTTAATGTTCCCCTCCTCTATGTGCCTCATCTTTCATCCCTAGAAATTGGCGCTACGAGCAGGAATTGGCAAGTCTCATCTGGAAAATTGACATCAAAGATATCCAGATGCAGCCAGACGCGACCTACTCAGCCCTTTCCATCGGGAGCAACAATGCGGTAAGTCGTGGTTTTTTAAATTTTAACTCATTAATTTGGCTGGTGAAAAGTATATATGTACTTGGAAATATTTCTTTGAGATAACAAAGTCTGATAATTTTATATTTTAGAGGGTTGAAAAGACCCGTTGTGTATTAAGAAAAAGTTCCATAAAGTACCTTAACTACACTTGAAAAAAATCAATTTCTAAAAAGAGTGAAGTACAGGTAAGAACTCAATAATTATATAAGTTACAAAGTACTATCGTGAATGTACTGTCGTGTCCCTGCACCAAAAAAGCAAAAATGTCACTTTCACAATAATTAGAATGCATGGCATCATATCGAAGGAGTACTGTCTGAGGTAGAGAAAGAACTTAAGTAGGTCTTATAAATTACGACAACTGTAAACTTTCTCTTTTTGTAGGGTCCGGGGGGGGGGGGGAAGGAAAATATTAAATTAGGTCGGTTACCTCTGGTTATTTGTCATTGTACCACATGTTGGCAACCCAAATGTCTCACTGATCTAATTGTTTTGTTCAACGACCTTCCGATAGATACCGTTCCCAAACGTCATCCGCCCTATTTGGGCACCTCAATGGAAATCACAGGTGTCAACTACGATCTCCTTTATTTCATTTTTTAAAAATAATTTTGAAACAAATTAATCACATTTTCAAAATAAACAGCTTCTCAATAATAGTAATTCCTCATCTTGTCGGCAGCACCCCCCCCCCCCCCTTTCTACCCCCACCCTCCCACCTACCCCTTCTCAGTCTCTCTGTCTTTCCATCTCTCTCTCTGTCTCTTTCTCTCTCTCTCTCTCTCTCTCTCTCTCTCTCTCTCTCTCTCTCTCTCTCTTTCTCTCTCTCTGCGTATCTCTCTCTGTCTCTCTCTGTATATATATTTATTTTTGTATATTATATATATATATATATATATATATATATATATATAAATATATATTTATTTACATATTCGCTCTGTCTCTCTCTCTCTCTTTCTCTTCCTCTCTAACACACACACACACACACACACTCACACACATACACACTCACTTACACACTCACACATATGCACTCTCTCAAACTCTCACACACACTCACACACGTGCACACACTCACGTACAAACACTCAATCCCTTACTCACTCACTTGCTATCTGTCCTATTTATCCATCTATCTGTCGATCAAACTATCTGTATGTCTGTATTTCTCTCTATCTCTGCATCTTTGTATGTGTATGTATATTTGTCCTTTAGTGTGTGTCTGTTTTACATTACTTTTTCGGCATGAACAATGTTCTCATCTGTTGATACCGAAATGAAGTTGTCGAAAGCCTAAACGCAGAGCTCAGCTCTACTCCACTGAATGAAAATAAAACATTTTGATGGTTTTTGAGTAAAGCTATCTTGGTTAATGAAAAATCCCAGTGCAAAGCAAAATATAATTTTATAACAAAATATACGTTTCATTTATTTTCTTCACCGGGTTCAGCAACCAACAGTTTGCTACCTTAGAATTACAAAGTTCTCACTGAGCAGAAATTAGTTTTGAGAAACTTCGTGTGAAGCTTTTTCTAATGCTTTTACTTTACTTTACTTTACTTTTTTCTTCCGCTTGTTATGTATCGGTGGGTGTCGCGGGGAGACACAGGCGTCTGTCTGCAGCAAGGCGAGTGGCCTGTAGGACCTCATCTGCCACAGATTTCTAATGCAATTCTTTGAATATCTTTAAATGACTGAATAATCTTACGACTTTGAAAGAGGAGTCAGAACATTTGGTTTCTGATCTCATGGTCTTAGTAACCCAAAATGGCCAATATGTCAGACAGAGCTTTGTAATTCTAAGGTGCCGAGTTACCGTACTTAATTTGTTCATTTGTTATTTTGTTCTTGTTTTTGCAACCAGTTTTGATTTGTTTGGGGTTTTTTCTTTCTATTTCACTAATAATAGCTGACGTTTTGCTTTATGAATGAGTCTGTAGTTGTAGTGAGTATCTACAACTGGTCTGATCCTGTTCCAAATTCATTGAGTGACATATCAGATTGCGACCTTTAATTGTTTGCTTTTTTGTATAATAATATGAATACAGGCATATGTTTTACACATGTGCGCTGTGTGTGTGTGTGTGTGTGTGTGTGTGTGTGTGTGTGTGTGTGTGTGTGTGTGTGTGTTTGTGTGTGTGTGTTCTAGATAATTTTTAAAAAAATTATTAGAAGTATATCTGAGTGGTGCGAAACTAATAAACTGCTTTTCACTGTGAACAAAACCCAAAGAATGTATTGTCGATTTTAGAAAAAAATAGATTACCATGCCGGAGTGCCTGTGTTTCGTTTATTTAAAGCAATTTCCATCCATTTGAAAACAGAATATTTTGCTCTTTAACGTTTCATTTTGTTGATTATATGTATGAGTATTAAATATATATAGTCAAACCTACTTTAACAGCCACCTGTCCAAGACAACCATCTGTACAAACCCTTGTGGGTTTTTTTTCTCTTTCTTATTATGGCACTGTCTAAGACCTCCACCTGTCTAAGTCATCCACCTTTCTCCTCGACATTGTATGGCCGATTTGAGTAATTCGACTGTATATTCGATGAATAATACAATGTTGCTTGACCTTGGAACATGAAATCGATCTTTCCTGACAATCAATATCGTCTGTTCCTTCAAATAATATTATCAGTCAATGAAGAGAAAGGCGTAAGCTTCTGCTGTGCAACAAAGAAAGAAACAGAAGACCGTTTTTAATCATCAACCATTAATCTTGTAATTGTCTTGCAATATAATATTATTATTATATTATGTGTTGTTAGAATGCCATCGGATTACTGTCAGAATACTGATTATTTATCTATCCAAAACAGTGTTTTTGTTAACAATAATGGTTCTTCTATGTAATATGCTGGTAACTGTGGGTCAGTTTGCAAGAGCAGGTATGCATGTGTGCATATGCATATATGTATGATGAATAGCATATTTGTGAGAGAGTGTGTGTGTGTATGTGTGTGTATATAGGTGTGTGTGTGGTGAAACACCAAACCAGCGTGCTAGCAGCGGGACAATATAAATTCTTCATAATATCTTATATTGTATGCATTAATGAAAGAATTGACGAATAGATGAATAAATAACTACATTTGTTTTAAAATATATCATTGATTACATAAGAAACAGGCAATACCGGAACAATGTATAAATCAACAGGATGTCCTGTTGAATGCAAGTCATGACCTATCAATATGACCTTATAATTCTAATCATTAAAATTTGTTTGGAAAAGATAACAGTTGTTTCTGTTGTCGTCGTCGCTATTGTTGCAATTTCTTGGTCTCGCTTTCGATGATGATGATGATGATGATGATGATGATGATGATGATGATGATGATGATGATGTTCTTTCAGCCCCAAAGCAACACGAGCCTGAGCCTAGGGCCGGACCAGGAGCAGAGGTTCACCAAGATGGGAGTCTATAAAGGGACACTAGTGGCTCTGAAACCTGTGAAGAAGAAGAATATGGACACCACCTCCCGGGAGATCAAACTGGAATTGAAACAGGTGAGGCGACAGAAACCAGATTATTATTAAGAGCTCCTCGAGTATGGTTAGTCCTGTTTTTTTCTATCTGCTATTTTTGTATGTTTGTCCGTCTAACTTGCTGTCTAGAGAGTTAGATGACAGTTGTTGTTTTTTTGCCAATATACTCCTATGTACTGAAGCTAACAAGGATATCCGCCAACCTGATTTGATCATATTGGAGATGGACATTGAATTTTGAAGTGTCGCCTATTAAATAAGCGGTTGGTGCGCTCCTCTCTGAAGCGGAAAGCCCGGATTCGAGCCTCGGTGGCGTTGAATGGAACTGGCCATCCTACTACAATGTGCCAAAGGCCCAGGAAGTTGTCTCAATAACAAGGCAATCCCCAATGTACGGATCGGATGCGGGAACAACTTTACTTTACAGTTTTTACTGAGGTAATAGAACATTTCGTCCTTTGCCGCCTTCCAGTAGATCAAACTGGAGCGAAGATAGAATCTCCGAGACTGCCTGACATAATTATTGTTATTTGTAACGATTATTTAAGCTTTTTACACGGTATGCTTCCTGAGAGGAAAAGAAATGTGTTGAGTGACCAAGGGTATGCTCGTTTAACAATAGTTGTAAAGCGCATTAAAAGTGTGCTGTTCAGCATGACTATGTGATATATAGTAGTGTCGTTATTCATAGTATTAATATTACTACTGTTATTGTCATTACCCCTACTATAGTTATATCGATACTTTCTTCTGATATTTCATCGTTCTTTTGTTATATGATATAAAGGTCGGTTCTCGTGAATTGAAAGGAGAAGGAATAAAGCAATCAGCAGAATAAGTTATAGTGTTTATAATTCAACAATTATTCTGTGTCTAGCCAAAAATAAGGAAAGTGTCCTCGTCTTCTGAATAATGCGCTTATCAACGAAGCTTATTCATCTATTTATCTATTTATGTAATTATTTCTTTTGTAACATTATTTTTAGAAACGTTTTTATTCATTACTTTCCTCCTTTTCGTGGGTCATTGAGCGATATGACTTCATAGTGTAATGTTTATTTAATTAATTTTTGGGGGTCAAATCGCCCCCCCCCCCCAGCACCATTTTAAAATTAAATTGAAAGCGTCTTTTCTGTAAGACGTCATGTTGACCCTATTGTGACCCCATGTGTTTTTCTGGGTTAAACTAAGTAAGTTTGGTCTGAATTATACTTTTACTAAGACTCGTGTTTATACATGCGCAGATGAGAGACCTCCGACATGACAACGTGGTGCAGTTCATCGGCGCCACCATCGAGCAGGGAATCACCCACATCGTCACGGAGTACTGCTCTAAGGGGAGCCTGGAGGTGAGGGTCTACCTGTTTGTTGATAAAGGTCTACCTGAAGTCTACTTTGTGTTCACTTTAATCCAGAACACTTCACTGGGCTAACTGACACGAGCACAAGAATAACTGCTCAACACACGAATCTCGGACAGCAACTGAACTTTAATACTCACCTCGCTAGTCGCTACTGCGCATGTCTTAAAGTGACGGGAGGTAGCTGCCTTAAAACCTTGTTATTTCCCATACATAACATACTTGATGTCTACCTTCTTAAAATTATGACGATATATAATAATCTAAACAATTTTTACTTCGTCCATTCCTGTGTGACACACAAACTTAGGCACGTAACTTGTAAGTTAATATCGACCGCTCAGAGAACGTCACCCCATACGCCATTTTGAAAAGTGGCATTGTGTTACGACAATGTGGAATGAGGCGCTCGTCAATTTTTGGGCATATGAAGTTATTGCTGTTTTCGTAAAGTGTGTTCGTTCGTGTATCTTTCAATGAGAACAATATCCATCTATCTTGAATAGAAGTCGAGCTTTTCACGATTGCAGGAGATGCAGGTCGCTTGGTTTCAGAGGTAAAACTAAAGAGAAACTGGCTGCCACATTTTGGTTATTCCCATAGCTTGATAGTCCCAGTAATCTGAAAATGTACTTTTATTTTCCCTTTTATCCATGTTTTTCAGTAAAACCTATACATGAATGCGTTCGTAAAAGGTGATGAAAAAAAAATCAAAGCAAAATTTTGATAAAAATTGCGAAACCGGAGGGAAAAAATGACAATTTCTTCAACTTCGTTATTTTGACGAGTGCCTGACTTCACCAAGCTGCTTCTATTATTTTGACGGCATCTTACACTGAGCAGTTCTTGGATCTTTCGCACATGAAGTCCTGACAAGCCCTATGCTGGTCCTGAAGATAGTGGAGATTCAGGATATAGTCACGTTCCATATTCTCAAGTAGAATTGAACCACTTTCCTAATGTACCCTACTGGTGTCTATTACGTCTATTATTATGTGGTAAAGAGCTTCACCGAACTACTAAATAATGGTGTTAGTTTAAGATCAAGGAAGGGTATAGTATCGAGTATCCAAGTCTTTCTTCTTGAGTTTGCATTACTCACATATTGTGCTGTTTCTGGCGGGCCTATGTGGAGCGACCGGGTATCTAAATTATCTAAAATCTGTGGATGGGGAAGAAAACATAATGATCGTTTAACATTAATCATTGGTCTTCTTCATCCATGCATCTATCATTTACTTGAGAAAGTCCCGATGCAGTAGGTAAAAGTGTACGTTCCACTTGATTTGGCTTTCCTTTTAGAGATGGTTATCTACAGATGTGAGGTACGACCACAAACAAATAGCAATGGGAACTTAGACATTATCTAATAGGCCACATGGCTTTTGTGTTAGACTTCAATAAATGTACATAATAGGTATAATAATTATATTTCCTTTCCATGTTTCTTTTTAGGATATTCTGGAAAACAGCGACTTAAAGTTGGATGACATGTTCATTGCTTCCATTGTCTCGGATATTCTCAAGGTATGATTTTTTTCCTTCCATCAATGTTTGGGAAAATGGAGGAGAACACTAACATGACTGCCTGTACCCGGGAATGTGCTCGCTCGTGCACAAACTTAAAACATACGCAATGAATCTGCTTAGCCCTCACTCCACCGCACCTTTTTCTATGTATCTCTATCTTTCTATCGATCCATCGATCAATCTGTCTGTGCGTCTGTCGGTCTGTCTGTCTGTCTTATCAGCATTGACACACTCAGGTATATATACATAGACCGCAAATACAAAAGAAAAGAGAAGACATTGTCGTTGCGGATGTGATGGATGGTCAGTTTTATTATAAACTGGATGCTATAATGTTTCAAGTAAAAGGATGTGACATTTCCAAAAAGGCTCGCGCTCTGTTAAGTAATTTGGAACCTAAAAAAAATTAACAAGTCTAAATGCCTAGGTGATGTGATAATATCAGATGGAAAATGAGCATCAGAAGTCCTGGGACGAAAAGTCACAGAAAAATTTACATTTTGAAAATGTGAGTGTTGACAACAATATGAAAAGAGCACTTCAAACAACTGGAATGTTGTTCATAAGGAGAGTGCTAAAAATATAATGGGCAGAACAGAAGACAAATGAAGAAGTGTTGGAAATGGCTTACATGAAATGATCGCTCATCGAGACCATAAGAAGACAGCAGAAAAAACTCAAGTGGTATGTCCGTATTCAGAAGAAAAAAAAAATGTTCGAACAACTAAGCATATCAGAAAAAAATCGGAGGGAAGAAATGCCAAAGACGCCAACACAAAAGATTAATAAATAGCGTAAACACATGGGCAAGGGACGACACAATGAACAACAAATAAACATATTTTTGAAAAGACACTTATAATTGCTGGTGGTGCTAATATTTAACCGAGGGAGAGAGAGATAGAGAGAGAGGGGGGGGAGGGGAGGGGGGGAGAGAGAGAGAGAGAAGGGAGAGAGAGGGAGAGAGAGAGAGAGAGGGAGAGAGAGAGAGAGAGAGAGAGAGAGAGAGAGAGAGAGAGAGAGAGAGAAGGGGGGCGGTGGAGGGAGAAGAGGCTGAGGTGACAGGAAAAGGTAATTTTAAAAAGCGTACGATCATATGAATCGATAAGTACACTACTTGATGGGCAAAAGGAAAGAAGACAAGAGAAAGAGAGGAGGAGATAGATTCTTGGGGAGATATGTGAGAGCTTATAAGACTAGGAAAGAAGAACTAAAGCACACCCATCGAGAGCAATAGACTATCAACACGTCTGAAATAGATCAAGGCTTTGTGCGGTTAGAAGTAAATGACTGTAAGAGGTCATTATGATATGCAGGCTCGCTAATTAACTGCCTTTATCGTTTATTAATGGATAGTGAGGCGATTTGCTGACCTCTCAATGTGCTTGATTTCACAGTACATGTAATTACTTCATTCAAGATTTCTGTTGGCATGACATTTCAGTACAATAGCATTCAGTAAATTTGGTTTCAAGAGAGGCCGCGTTTTGCAGGTTCGGAATGTGTAAATCTTTCTTGTTATTTTTTAAAGAATTAATATCATGATTCTTCAATGTCCGTAGAATTTTCTTACAAACCATTGAAATAAACAATTGCCTCTAAGCATTCTTAACCCAGTTCGTTATTTAATACACAGGTTGTGATTTTATTTTGACTTTTCCTGCATTTTATTAATTTCATAACGAAGAAAATAGTCCGTGGTTTTTACGTCAACGATTCACCCAATATTTAACACAACTATTTTGTTTATTTATCCCTCTTCAGTTTTCTTACTCACTCCACTGTTTTCTTTCTCGATAACTTGATAAAACTTAATTATTTTACTAGATTCTAGCAGTAAAAGATGAAGTCAGTTATAGTAATAGATGTAATAGCAGCAGCGGTAGTAGCAGCAGCAGCAACAGCAGCAACAGCAGCAACAGCAGCAACAGCAGCAACAGCAGCAGCAGCAGAAGCAACAGCGGTATATGCAGCAGCAGCGGCAAATTCAGCAGGCTCTCTGGTGGGATTTGCTCCTTCATTCCTATTTTAAAAAATCGATCGTCCTTTTCTCTCATCCTATTTTCTTTATATGTTTCTCTCGAGGAACACCTCTAATCTTCGGCACGTTTATGACCTGCATGTGTGTTGCTAGTGATGTAATACATTTACTAAACTAACTAACGCATTTACATTGCCTCTTGGGAAGGAAGCAGAGCTATTACAAAATGAGATACAGATCAATAAGAAACATGTGTAACATCTTCCGAAACTACAATTAGTAAATTAGTGCTGTAATATGCTAGTATTATACAAAATACCGTCTAAAATTAAATGGGTCGATTTATTTGTCAAGGCTTTATTTTGAGGTAACCTGGGGACGGCCGATTATTCATATATTTTCTGATGAATATTCTGTGTTCAGGCATATTCATACGTAGTGTGTAACTGCACTAATATGCATTTTTTCTTTTGATTTGTTTTTCCCCGCTTTCTCAAGCCATGGCGAACGAAATACACAGTTTGCAATTAAACAAAAGAAAGATAGAAAGATTGAAAAAAAATAGATAGATAGATAGATAGATAGATAGATAGATAGATAGATAGATAGATAGATAGATGGATAGATAGATAGATAGATAGATACGTCTAACTTGACCTGTGTAAAGTATATCCCATGAGAGGACCCAAAAAATCCTCTCCCCCATGGGCATTGAATTCACGTCAACTGTTTATTAGAGGTTTGATATCATAGACACTTCGTTGGTGGAGTCTCAGTGGGTTCCTTTTTCTTTTATTTTGAATGGGGGGATTGTTCTTTTAGAGGGTAAAATCTAAGTGCATAAGGTCATATATGGGCTCGCGGGACACACCAAGCAGTTGGTGGGAAATTTTGAATATTGCCCTGGTGGCGGCCGAAGCCTACTCTTATCGATTTTGGATCACCAAGGGATCTTTAGCATGCGCAACTTGCACACGGCATCTCCGCGATTTTTTCACCCTTGTCCGAGAGGGGTATGTATAGATCGTACCTACCATAAGAACGGGGGTGTGGCTGACAGACAGCAATAAAAAGGAGCACTGTTGAAATTATATCTCACACAGTAGAAAGGCTGCAGAAAGAGTTAGGAGCCCAGAGGAGGGAGCAAAGGAGTCTCAGTGCTTGGGCCAGAAGACTACTCATAAAAAACCAATAGCCTCTCTTCTATAGAAAGAGTGCACCGTACTCGACAGGAAATTAAGAACTGTGAATGGTATGATGTACTCTGAAATAGTGACCCCTTTACTGGATTTTATTTCCGTTCCTCCTGATATTATGGTCTGTTTATGACCAAGGTCGTTGTCCTCTGGAGGGCTGAGATGGCAACAAGAAGTACGGTGTATTTACCAACGACCTGAGTTATAGTCTTGTTATGAAAGCTTTGTTTTTCATTGATACGCGACTAGTTATATTATTGCTGTTACTGCAGTACTTCCCAACATGGTCGATTTCGCCCACTAAGGGGCGATTTAGTAATTTTGGTGGGAGGTCGGGTCACCCAGGCAGTGACAAGTATTATTTAATGCCCCACTTGGAAATACTTACAGGTGGGTGGCACGAAACTGTTAGTCATTTCAAGATAGCGAAAAATGGATTCTGGGTATAAAAAGGTTGACAAGCACTGTATTACAGGGAATTTGAACCTCGCTGGAGAAACAAAACAGATTGTTTCGTAATATTTTGAAATGTCAATACTTTTTAAAGTCGACGTTTTTACTCTTTTGGGTACTCTGAAATTCTGCACCGGCGTCTTGATGGAGAGGTTTGGCGGGGAGTGGATGGGGAGAATCTATATATCTATTACAGTATCTCCGTCTTTCTGCTGAGACGTTGTACCTCTTTCAGTCCTGATTGGCCCTGACAGGCAGGGTTGAAACAGCCCTTTTCTTAATAGATATTAATGTGTTGATTGGGGCTTAAAACGTCTACAAGAACTCGGTTGTTGTTGTTTGTTTGTTGTCGTTTTTGTTTGATTTAAATTCTGTTATGTTAAAGGACAATTCTTCACTTTGAATTTCTAGTCAGAGAACATAAAATTGAATGTTTGCGCTGCAACAAAAATGATGCATTCATAATATACTGAATAGAACAGAAGGTAATAGGATTTCAAGCCAAGTGTTCATGAGTGAAAGAGTGTCTAGCGTTTGTTCTTTTACGACTTCAACACGCGTTTGGACATGAACGACCGATTTCTTAGGCTTTGTATATATATATGAGAATGCAAAAAGGGAAAGGAGGAACGAAATGAAAACGGGAAAAAGAGAGAACGAAAGTAAGAAGGTGGAGATGACATGAGAGTGTAAATTTGAATGGGAAAGAGGCAGAGATATGGGACGGGGTGGTGTTAAAAGTTATAAATGGTTTTGAAAACAATATATTTGAGGGGGTGGGGTGCGATGGTGGCGAAAGATGAACGTCCTGAATTAAGCCTATTTACCGTTTGATCCTGTCACAAATCCAACCGTTTCAGCTTCTTCGTGGTAAAAATAGATTCTGTTCAGAGTTTATAACAGCAAACTGAAAACCTAGATGCGCTTTCATCTACCACAATATTTTTCGTTTGTAGTTAAGGCGACTCATCGTCTGGCGTGCGCTTTGTCCGTTATAATAAACGCCTTTGCGCCTTTGATGCTTCTCTGTTGAGATGCGATTAAAAATTCATGCCCTCCTTCTGTGTAGTGGTAGGATGCTATCCCTACGCCCAGGCTAATTTATTCCGATTTTCGCTCCCAGCACACTGCTCTTCTGTACAGACCCGTGGCGATTTGTTGTATAAATTAAGATGCACTGAATGTTTTTCGTCCCCCGCCCCAACCATCTCTCTCTCTCTCTCTCTCTCTCTCTC